CAAAAGGTATTTATCTGTGATAGATTTTTAAAAGACTTTCAAGGATGATTAAGAACTTCAAAAATCCAAAGTAAATTTTAAGAGAATTTTAAAGGATTCTAGGGATGACACCAAGATATACCAGAGAATAATACAGACTACGAAAGTCTAATGTAAAATTAAGTGCTCTGAGGACCGATTTCTTCATCTCCGCTTAAATCTTAAGCCAGGTTTACCTATATAGTTAAACTTGACTTAACACATACGGGCGTCGCTTTTGATCATTGTTTAAATTATTAGAGACGCAAAATTCAGCTCCGAAACTATTTTGGAAATAATTCCAATATAATTGAGAGTGCATTTTAACGAGCGTTCTGAGATGATTGGATGAGGATTCTAGGTCCAATTCTACTAAGAATCCGAAATTAGTTCTACTAATTTGCTTAAGGGAGCTCTGATGAAAATTACATGAAAATCCCGTAAACTCCAAGGATGGTCACTGCGGATAGTTCTAAAATAATTCTGGGGTGATTTATGAAGATACTTCCAAGAGAACTCTAAAGAGTTCGAAATAAATTCCGTGAAGAATTCCAATGGAATCGAATTTTGAGGGTTCAATCTCAAAGGAATTCTGTGAAGGGTTCCAAAGTTATTCTGTGATGGATTTTTGTTTTGAGAATTCTGAGGAAATACTATGGGAATTCTAAGGAGAATGCGAATTGAATTTCCAATTGAATGCAGGGGGAGAAATCCAAGATTATTCTAAGCAGAAATTTATGAAATTTCTAAGATTAATTGCATGGAAATTCTAAGGTGGATTCAAATAAATTTAAAATGGATTTATGGAAGGAGCCTTCAGGGAGTTCCGAGAAGAATCAATAAAAAATTGAAAATAATCTACTTTAACTAGTCATGTGTTATTATTTTGCGATTTACATAGTCGGAGATGCTTAACGTCAAATATCAGACTTAAAGTGCAGATTTTATACGATAGATAAGCAGATTAAATTATAGAGTTGATAGCTCCGTTATAGTACGGCAGTGTGAACATTGTATATACAAAGTAGAAAGCGAGCAAGGACAATGTTGAGGAAGGTACGAATCGGGTAGTTGTTTATGTCAGATGGCGACTTGAGTGTGAAACAATCGATAGAACTGTTTCCGCACATCGGAGGTACATGAGCACATCGGCGATCATCCCTTTTGCCAGTGGTGACAGAAGGAAGCACCGCTCACTATTCCTCATTAACGGATGAGTTTGGTAAAGGAGATGCTCTACTCGATTCGTACCTTCCTCAAAATTGTCCTTTGTTCGTTTTCTACTTTCTATACACAAATTTCACACTATCTTACTATAACGGAACTATAAACTCTTTACTTTCATCTCCTCATCTATCGTATAAAATGTCCACTTTAATTATTATATTTGATGTTAATCATTTCCAACTACGAAAATAATCTATTTTCAAGAATTTTGTTGATTATTCTGCAAAGAATTTCAAGAATGCAATATTACTATTGTAAAAACTTATTTGTCTCTAAGTTTAAGAGAAGGGGAATTATTCTAAAAACGTCCTTGAGATCATTCTGAAGGAATTCTGTGAAAAGTTCTTAGCGAATTATCAAAGTTATCTGCCTAGATTTATCAAAATTTTAAACATTTCGAACGCAGAATCAAATCACTTCAAAAGCACTTCACAGGAGATTCCGTTGTGAGATTCGATTAAATTAGAGGAATTTAAGAAATTTGATTTCAAGTTCCATGACATAATAAGTTTATTTCAACATCAACCCGTATTTGAATTTCTTAGTTATCATATAAATGGTTACTTATTTAGTATTTACAAGGTCACTATTCGGTCACTATTTTCGTAATTTTGGTCACTAAAGTCACTACTATTATATCGCATCAGCACTATCAGCCCTGAAACGTGTATCTGACCAAGCATCCTGGTAGCGTTATGGTTTTTGGATTGGTGGCTTCCGATGGCAAAAAATTGACCCGGTGTTCATTCCAGAAGGCGACAAGGTCAACACGGAGGTCTACATCGGGATTTTAATTAAGTATGTTCTTCCATGGATCAAAGAACAGTACGGTCCGAAGCCAAATGTTGTATTTCAACAAGAACCGCACTCAGAAGTGGTTGCAGGAACATCTTCCGTTCTGGGCGAAGGATATGTGGCCGCCATCCAGCCCCGATCTTACCGCTGGATTACTCAATATGGCGCGTCAGGAAGGTCAAGGCCTGGTCTAATCGCCACCCGAGTACAGCAAGCCTCAGACAAACATGACTCGTACCTGGAGAGAAATTGATCCAGACTACATTATTAGAACCTGCCGTGCATTTCGGAAGCGTGTGGAGGCCGTAATTGCAGCAAGTGGAAACTCGATCGATGATTAACATAGTTTAAGACTCTGAGAAACATCCCCCTTTGAATAAATTAAAAAAACTTGAAAACGAAATTTTTGAGATTTTTTTTTTAATTTTGACGTTGCTTGACATTATCACGCATACGGTATAAGATTGCCCTGGAGCTGTCGAAACTTACTCTTAAAGATCTTTCAACTTCCCCAAATTTCTATCAATAAGAACTTCTCAAAGGTTCCAACATTTTTTTCTGATGTTAATAAATCTACCGTATTAAATTTAACCAACATTGATACATTCACAAGCTCAAATATGTAATCTAGTAATCCAGATGGACATCCAAAAATGCCTTTATGCATTTTGGTGCGCAACTTTTATAAGAGGAGCACATGAAGATCGATATTTCGATCAGGTTTTACGAATTGACCACGTTTATGGATGTTCCGGATCTCCCAGAGGACAGTTCCGTGACCACCAGTGTGCGCATGCTGGGCCCAAATTCAAATTCATTCATGTAGCATCACAAATAGTGATTTTAAAACGAATCGCTGAGCTAGGGATCTTTTTCACGAATTGATAACCTTTACGGATGTTTCGGATCTTCCGGAGAACCGTTTCTTGAATGCCTAGATCTGTAGTTGGACCTCAACCTTCAATCTTCAGTCTTCATGGTTACGTCAATATTGTCGAAAAAAAAAAAACAATCACGAAACTCTGTGATCAATTTCAGCTCGAAGTTCGACGATAAGTTTAGCAACTATCGGTGCGACAGCCGAAAACGTATATTTACAATCGTGATAGCAACGACCGGTGCTTAAACAAGTTGCTAACTAAAATAGTAATAGCTAAAGTTGTCAAACTAGCAGCCCGAATAGCAATGCACCGGTGCGGATGCTCTAATCAAATAATAATTTTGATCTAGAACAATCTTCACGAATGATTAATATTTTTTTTTTCAATTTACAAAGCATCAATGTCAATTGAATTCAATCTGGATAAACGTGACTTGACTGTACGTGCGGTTTAACGTGTGTTGGTTTGTAGTAACGAAAAATGAGTGGTTGAAATTACATTTTTAATTTGTATGAAAATTCTGAAAGATTGCTAAAGCGGTAAAATCAAACATATTCGCAGACGTCACTGAACTACTAAGGTTAATCTCAAGAAAATCCAATACGAATAAATCCAAGGTAAATTTAAAGTATTTAGCATGAAAATCTTTGGAATATTCCTCAAGAATTAAAAGTAAAATAGGTATGTGTAACGAATTTAAAAAGAATTGTAGAGTGAATTCCATTTTTTTCTGGATAATTTTTTTAAGCGTTCTACAAAGAAATGCAGAAATGTTGTGGAGAAAATTTCAAGAGTAATGCCGAGAAAACCCCTCTGGAGCGATCTCTGGAAAAATTCTAGAATGATATTTAAACGATATTTGCGACCGTATTCGAATAAAATGTTCAAGTGAATTCAAAAACAAATTGCATTGAATCATTCAAGAAGACGATTAAGAAAGCTATGAAAATATGTTTTAGCAAATTCTTGCAAGAATTCTAAAATAATTGAAGAGTATTGTTAAACGAATGCCACGATTTCTTGGGATAGAATCTTTAGAGTGATATGCAGAGGCATCATATAATGGTGCGGAGAAACTTTTTAGAATGAATTCCAAAATTCATGTAGAGAATTTTGAAAATAAATCTGAAGAAATCCTGGCATACTTCAAAGGAAATTCTTGAAAAAACAGTTTAAAGGCATCAACTTAAGAGCCATGCCACAAGCAGACGTAACCAAAAGATTCATATTCACAAGTATGTACTTCATGAAACATAAATAAAAAAAAACAGCAAAAGGGTTTATCTTCCATTTAATTCCACTTAATTAATTTTGGTATCCATGACAGATACGTATTTCGACTACAATGTGCAGTCTTCATCAGTGTCATTCCCACTAAAGAACCTTTTATACCTATGATCTTGACTTTTTTACCTAGGGGATGAGTACTTAAGGGGGTTAGATTTTGATAAGTTCTTTAGTGGGAATGACACTGATGAAGACTGCACATTGTAGTCGAAATACGTATCTGTCATGGATACCAAAATTAATTAAGTGGAATTAAATGGAAGATAAACCCTTTTGCTGTTTTATTTAGCATTCCGCTAACAACCCAATTTCATTACTTCATTATGATGGCTACCAAGCCTTTGGGGGTTTTTCCTTATTAGAGATTTGTATAGATTTTTCTCCTTTAGCTTACTTAAATCTTTGGTTTTTATTAGTTAGGTAGGTTCCGATTCAACACATTGTAGTTTCATTTTTATACCTATGATCTTGACTTTTTTACCTAGGGGATGAGTACTTAAGGGGGTTAGATTTTGATAAGTTCTTTAGTGGGAATGACACTGATGAAGACTGCACATTGTAGTCGAAATACGTATCTGTCATGGATACCAAAATTAATTAAGTGGAATTAAATGGAAGATAAACCCTTTTGCTGTTTTATTTAGCATTCCGCTAACAACCCAATTTCATTACTTCATTATAAATAAAAAAGTTGTGGATTAACCAGACGCCTTTACTAGAGACTTGTTTCAAACAATCATAGCACGAATTTATTAAATAGAATCTGATTTTAATCAACCCCTCTTTGCCCAGGTGAGGTCTACGTGCTGGACGATGGTGGAGAGGTGGATCTGGATTTGGGAAACTACGAACGCTTCCTGGACATAACGTTGCACCGGGAGAACAACATCACCACCGGAAAGATTTACAAACAGGTCATCGAGAAGGAGCGCGTTGGTGACTATCTCGGCAAAACAGTTCAAGGTGGTTTTGAAACAAAAAAAAATAGTTGCAGGTTGCCATAACCATTATTTCATTATTTTACAGTGGTTCCCCACATCACCGATGCCATTCAGGAGTGGGTGGAGCGCGTTGCCAAAACTCCAGTGAACGAGAACGTTGAACCGCAGGTATGTGTCGTCGAACTGGGCGGTACCATCGGAGACATCGAAGGTATGCCCTTCGTTGAAGCGTTCCGACAGTTTCAGTTCCGCGTGAAGAGGGAAAATTTCTGTGTCGCTCACGTGTCTTTGGTTCCGCTACCCAGGGCTACCGGAGAGCCGAAAACCAAACCCACACAAGCCAGCGTACGGGAACTACGAGGTCTTGGTTTGAGTCCGGATCTGATTGTATGCCGTTCGGAGAAACCGATCGGGAATGAGGTAAAGGATAAGATCAGCAACTTTTGCCACGTGGCGCCCGAGCAGGTGGTGTGCATCCACGACCTTTCGTCAATCTATCATGTTCCGTTGCTGATGGAGGAGGCTGGTGTGATTGAGTTTTTAAATGAGAGGCTAAAGTTGGAGATCCCATTGCCAACACCGGTGCGGTTTATGCAAAGCTGGCGTGACTTGGCCGAACGAGTCGACAATGTTTACAAGAAGGTGAACATCGCACTGGTGGGCAAGTATACAAAGTTGGAAGACTCTTACGCATCGGTGTCCAAGTCGTTGCTACACGCGTCGCTTGCCGTTGGATATAAGTTGAATCTGAAGTTTATCGAGGCGTGCCATTTGGAGAGACAAACCAAAAAGGAAACCCCACATCTCTACTACGAGGCTTGGCAGAGTCTAACGAACAGCCAGTAAGTTGATTTATCGAAAGATGAAAGAAGTAGCTTCTTACAAAGGTAATGTGAAAATTTTCAGCGGTGTGATTGTCCCCGGTGGCTTTGGATCACGAGGCATTGAGGGAAAGATTCGTGCTTGTCAGTGGAGTCGCGAGAACAAGAAACCCTTCCTTGGCATCTGTCTTGGTCTGCAGGCAGCCGTTATAGAATTTGCCAGAAATGTGTTGAATCTTCAGGTACGTTTTTTTCTTCATAATTCTTGCGCTGGAACGTAATGATTGGAATCTTGTTTCAGGACGCAAATACGACCGAAGTTGATCAGGATGTTGAGCATGCACTTGTCATTGACATGCCGGAGCATCATCCGGGATATATGGGTGGCACAATGCGTTTGGGCAAACGGACAACTCTCTTCACAGAGGAGAAAAGTGTGATAAGTATGTAATTGTGTGGATTACTTATTTAAAATAAATGCTCAAACTAATTCTTACCATCAGAACAACTCTACGGCAATGCCAGTCAGATCGAAGAACGACATCGCCATCGGTACGAAGTAAATCCAAAGTACGTCGAGCAGCTAGAGGCTAAGGGGCTTAAATTTGTCGGCCACGATTCGGAGAAGACCCGCATGGAAATTGTCGAGCTGCAAGATCATCCCTACTACGTCGCAACACAGTTCCATCCGGAGTATCTGTCGAGGCCGCTCAAGCCGTCGCCACCGTTTTTGGGTCTGGTTTTGGCATCCGTTGGTAAGTTGGATGCCTACTTGCAAGAGGGGAATAAGCTGTGCAGCTCCGCACACCAAACGAGCGAAAGTTCGAGTGATGACGATGCGTTGTTCTCGACAAACCGTCTGCTGAAAAAGATGAACGTTAGTGGAAAACCTATCAAGCAGAAGCAACCCTCTTCAGATCTTAACGGCCAATGCAACGGGACGCATACGGTTGAATGCAATGGTAAGCACGACGAAAAGTGAATTGTATTGTGATGATTGGCATTAAATGGCAGACATTTTAAATTTATACGAGGCTGATGCAAATATTAATTTCATTTTATGTCCGACATCACTCAACTAGGTCCGCTCTCCGCGGACATGGAGGTTGACATTACTGATTCAGAAATTGTTAATAGAACTTCGTTGATGAAATCGGCTGCTTAATGCAGACAGACCAATTCTGATCATAGTATCAGATTTGTTCTGTAAACAGAGGAACTGGGAGGTCTTTTTGAAAACTTCTCGAAAATAAAGATGTAATTTATATTTGTATTTTATTTTTTTGGGAGGGGAGTAAAACCGCTGCGTCCATTATTTTGTGGTACCCCTATTTGCTGTTTGTATCATGCAAACCGACCACTATTTAACGAGTGGACGGCTAATTGCCTGGACACATCTTTTCCCAGTCCGGTATAATATGGTTTATTAAGCCAACTCCCAACTAACAATTTTAGCTGCAGATAAGCTTATACAGCCAAAAATTGGCTTATACACCTAATTTTTGCCTGTATAAGCTAGTCTGCAGCTAAAATTGTTTGTTGGGCTACCTTTCCAGACCAAATTTCACTAGGTTGTAAGCTAATACTTCCAAGAAATTTAGATCTACGCTTGTGTAATGCATTACAACTGTAGAGAAGATGTTCCGAGGTTTCACGTTCCATGTTACAGAAACGACAGATATCACTCTGAACCCGACAAATGTTCTTCATGTGATATCTACTAGAACAGTGCCCAGTTACTAGGCCAGTGTATATACTAAGAGCTCTAAGAGGTTTTTGGTGTTTGTTATATTAGGAGTTATAAACCTTTTCAACTGGTTGCAGTTTGTGACAGCCATCCAATTGGCCATCATCCTTTGCTCTTCCCAGCATTTGATTTCCATTTTTACCGTACAGTATAATATTCCACTGTATGGTTCTGGGCCAAAAAGAAACTGTGAATAAGAACCTAACTTTGCTAGGTCGTCTGGCCTTTCATTCCCTTCAATGCCACTGTGTCTTGGTACCCAATATAAGTTTACTGAGTTCCGTTGGCACAGTTGCCGAAGCGAGATAATGCATTCCCAGGCGATCTTTGATGTACTATTGTAAGCACTCAGTGCTGCTTGACAATCAGAAAAAATATAAATATAAAGTCCCATCCCATATTTGTTTATTTTCTATTAGTGTTGCATTCAATTTTGATTTTATTTAAGTATTATATTATTCACAGTAAATTAGCATATGGTAGGCACAAGAGTTTCACGTCAAATATTCAGCCATTCATCGTTTTCATTTATTAACATTCAGTTGTTCTTCATTTCTACCAACCTTTGAAACGTTTGCCTTTACGCTGGACGTTACTAAAGTGAAAGATGATACATCTTAAAATATTTTTAAATATTATAATCTTCCTTAGTGGAAAATATCACCTATATGACGCTTCAGTAATCCTCAAACGATTTATTCTTGGTTATTAATAAAATTTCCTCGATTAAATCAGCTATTTCACGCAGACTGAGCGATTCTGATATGTAAACATCAGATTTGTACTGTAAACAGAGGAACCTGAAGGACTCATTAGAAGCTTCTCAGCAACAATGCGGTACTATTCTAATTAGTAATATTTGAGTTAATTGTTAAGTCATTAAAACAAAACTGTTGTCAGTAATTTTTTTCATTTCCCTTCATTAGTTGTCACTTCATTTTGATATTTTGGTAGATTTTCTTAATTAGTTAGAAGTTTCGAAGCTAACACATGTCCAAAGGCCCAAAAATAGATCTGTATAGGAGAAATTGGAATATTTATGAAAAATTAACTAGAATATATATGCATCTCAGGACACAAGGCTTTCCCAAATCACTAGATATTGAAAATAGGACGCGGTGGGCCCACTTAGGAACATACGCGCAACATAGCGTGAATTAGAAAGATTGTTTGAGAATAGATTATTGTTTGCATACCTGTTTTTACTAATGCTGTGTTCCGTAGCGTGGGTAGATCACCTTTTCGTGGTACGTTACGGGATGTAAGATCTACCACATCGAACTCTGGCCCGAAGCTCTTCTTGCAGGGTTCCGATGCATGGTCAAATATCAGTAGCTTGATTTTCTCACAAAGAAGACCTATTTTGATTGCTGAGAACTTGCATATTTGAAGAGATCCCAGAATTTTTCAAATGATGCCGAACATCACAATTGAATGAAGATGATGTCAGACCTATTTTGATTGATGAGAAAGGTCCTAGAACGCTTTTAATATTGCGAAACATCACAATCAGCGAATCCAAACACATAAAGCAACCAACGGTACAGACATAACGGTTGCTACGACTACTATGACAAACTCGCTCTGTAACATAGCTCGATCGGAGTGGTAGATAGATAACAGTTTTTGTAAACAATGACTTCTCTCGATGATTTCTCGTAAGCCATGGCTCTTCCTGGCAAATCGACATCACCATCGAGTAGAGGAAGACTTCCTCTACCCGATGGTTATGTTGGTTTGTGTAGGCGTGCCTTGAATTCTGAGAAATCAACGAAAGAAGTCATTGTTTACAAAGGCTGTTACGCCCTAATTCCAGCTCTATCTAGAGATAATGATACATTGCTAGCCTGTTTTGTTGCAATATACACGGATGAGAACATAGCTTGATCTTCATCGAGAAAAGACACAACCAAAAATTTCCCATTAACACACGTGTATCTTCTTTGGCTTTACTTCGTGAAGCAGCTTGCCAACAATTTACTCGTTACTTTTACCAGTCAGTTTTACTAGGCCATGGATGAGCTGTATCGCACGGGCTGCTTGTCATGAAAAAAAGAAGATTATATCATTATTTGCTTTCCACTTCTGACATAGCGTTATCGTTCGGGTCGTTGATCGCTTGTCATTTTGTCATTTGGAGATATTTTTGATTCCTTGATCACAATTGAATGAAGCTTCTTTGAGAAGAGCAACTATGTATGATTCAACCACAGACAAACATACATAACACTCCCAATCACATTCATCGCAAATATTGTTTTAGTTGGGAATGTGCTTGCATTTGTCATGGTGGCGCCACTGAAGCTTTGAGCAAGCCACCATATTTTGAACTTATCAGTGATGAGTTTTTTTTACGTCTAGTTAGTAGATGTCAGCTCTTGAACATGATAAGTGGTCAAGGCATCCTACTGGAGACAAAAACCAAATCTGACGCAAACAGAAAAAAAGAATGTTGAATATTACATCAAAACTGCTGCACATTAGTCATTCCGTTCCTAATATTACATTGTATGATGTACACAGAATTCGAGAACAAATCATGTTGATGACTGTAATATTCTATCAACTTTTACCAGTTATTGATGTTCAATACTTCACCATGAATATAATTGATTCATATATATTTTTTCTTCTTCTGTGTACACATTGAAGTGATGAGCGGTGGTAGAAATGGCACTAATAAGTGATGCATTACCTCGTTTAAAAACTTGTTTCCAGCACACTAAGCAAACAAAACAAATTCCAAAAAAAAAAGTCTTAGCTTCTGAGAATTTTTCCTACGGATCCGTATTTCTGCAGAATTCAATCAATTCTATAGATCTTCGGAAAATTTCGTAGAACCGACATCACTATTTTCCATCTGTTTTGTTTTTATTCAACACTGCTTACATGCACGAGGGATGCTCCGGTTGCAAAACATTGCTTGGGAATGTGGATGATAGATGGTGCTAGTGCGCATGCAAAATTCGCTTGACGATATTTTTTGAAGAATTTTCTTATAAGAGTTATGTCTGTTTGTCTGTAATTCAACTGTATCGAAAAATCACACCTTGTTACTTTTCCATAGTAATGCACTAAACGAAGGACAGATCAATGTATTGGTCGTAGTGATTATGACCCGAACAGACGAGAAAAATAATGCTGTGTATATTTGAGATCTTTTTTGATTATTTGAAAAACTAAAGCTTTGTATTATTTTGTATTTTATTATTGAAGGAGAATGTTTTGCATAAACCATTTGCAAAACATTCTCCTTCAATAATACAAAGCTTTAGTTTTTCAAATAATCAATAAAGATCTCCAATATACAGACTATAAATAAAATAGCTGCTTAGCTTTTATATACATTGTTAAACTGTTTTTCTCTAAGATCTATGCATAATTGTTCATAAGACAGTTCCAAGTTTGAAGCGCACACGATCGTAGTCAAAAGTGTTGAATGTTGACAGTGAAGTAAACAGGAATTTCAAATAATTTTCAATTACTCTTATTTAATTTAATTGCATTTACAACCTAATAAACATTGGAAGCAGAATAAGAGTTTATTCAGGAAAAAATAAGCTGCTTTAGATAAAAAAAATGGTTTATTCAGCCTTTAATCAGCACAAATTGTTTAACTGGGAAGTCGTTTTGGATTTTGTTTCTTCGTTTTCAGAATTTTGTAGCAATTGCGTTGGTACTTAAAGTTTGAAATCCACGGGTGTTTTTTTTTTTTTTATCTGGCGTAGGGTGAATGGCTCTAATGTTGGCTTATGGATCTAAGATTGGGCCCATCGCTAAAAATCTGCTATTTATCAATTTTATCTAGATGAACGCGTCGTTTGGACGGTACTAATGGATATTTTTGGTCGCTATTGAAAATTTAGTCGATTGCTATTTTTTTGGGTTTTTGTTTTGTGCGGAGTTCGGGATTAGTCAAGGGATTAGTGCGTTTTTGTTTTAATTTTTTGTTCTATCATTTTATTTCTTTTGCTTTTTTGTGGATTTCAGAATTTACATTCGGTTTTGATATTGATTTTTTTAAACGGTTTCTTTTGCGCTGTTTTTTTTATTAAATTTATGTGAAATTTCTAAAAACCACGGTACAGTGGGCCATGAATACAATCTAGCTGAACATAACTAAAAAATCCAAACCGGCATTTGGCTTGATGTCTTCAGCAAATATTCATATTATAATGAGGACCATCAATTGGCGTAAAAAGATAGCTCAAGCTTCTTTTAAAAAAATAGACAACTCTTTTCAAGATGTCAAAACTCCACAGCCGGCTTGCACACAATGTTTAGAAATATGCCCCTTAGAATTTTTTAATGATTCGTGGAACAAACTTACCCAAGAAACATCGAACAAACACAACCAGATTGTAGGTACAGAAAAAAAAAACAATTTCATCGATCCGGTACATTTTGCGGCAAACTAAAAACCGTGCCTTATCATCCCATGCAGTTTGCACTCACCATAGTCTAGACCTGTTTAAACCATAACAAACGTGTCAACTGGAAAATGTAAGCACGGCAAAAGCCCACCAGCCTGCTGTGAAAGCAAATTCCACCGAAAGTCAAGGGTACTTTTCCCAATTATTTTCATGTCAGATTAATCTCCAAAATATTGATAATGCTCGCATAACACGATACATTTGCCCGCACCTAGGATTTAGTAATCACAACAAATTGGGTGATTTGTGATCTT